AACTTCCTAATATCCATGTTTACATCAGTCTTTGCATGCATGCGGCTCAGGCAGGCAGCATGCAGGCTGCTTTATGCTGCTGCTGCCTCTCTGTTGGACTCCGGTACTGCACGTTACTTCCGAGAGGTTTTTCCCCCTCAAAAGTAAAATTCAGATTCGGGACTTTTCAGAAAACATCCAGGGTGAAATATCTTCTTAGAGTTTACGTGCAGAGTCGTATAAAAGATGTCTACTTTGTAGAGATCTTAAGATTGTAAATAGATAATATCTATAGCATGTGGAGCCCCCTTCTTCCAATATACACCTATGAACAAAAAAAAGTTGTTTTATGCAAGTTTTGGGTCATTATAGTTATGTGATTCAGCACTAAAGACATTTCTGAGTTATTGCTAGTCCTGGTTGTGCTGTTTTTATAGACTTTATGTTGAAGTGAAAAATGAGCGAGTAAAAATGCGACAGACTGAAAAAAGTTGCCCAGAAACTGTGTGGGGTTCACAGGGTTAAAGCAGTCAGCCTTTACATGGACGGCTTTAACTCCTTTAAACTAACAACCAGCCAACACAGACCAGCAACTGAAAATCAGATAGTGCTCACGCTAAGCCGTGTGGTGATGGATTAATGTCTATCGATGGCAGCATTGATGCTCAAACCGAGGCAGAGTATTGATGGTGATGCTTTGGGGACCACAGTGTAAATAGGTGGAAGTCGAAAGTCAGGAAAATGTTCCGTTTGTGCATTAACTGTTGTATAAATAACAATAACAAGAAACTTTATTTATGCAGCAATTTTCTTAACAAAGCTACACATAATGGCATTTTCATGAAAGTAAACAAAGATCACAAAAGCAGCGACGCCGCCTTCCCTCCTGGTCCTTTATCAGGTTCTGTTCCTCACCAGTTGTTTACATCTTTGTATGTTCTAATAAACTATTTAACCGTGTGTGTGTGTGTGTGGAGGCTGAAAAACAAACCACGGCCTGTGTTTGTGTACTTGTGACAGGGAGAGATAAGGCGGTGTGAAAATCCATTCTCCCGAGCGCTGCCTCCTCCCACCGTCTCTCTCTTTGTTGTCCGGTCTCCAACCGAAGGCATGTTGGGAAGATGTTGTTCACCGCGTCTGTTAATGGGATGATGTCACTGTCATTACCGTACCCACCAGATAATCCCATAAGCCACGTCAACATCGTCTCCGCCCCTCTGGATCTCACAGCAAAGCGTTCCTTTGGCTGTTCTAAAGTGTGACTGTAGGCCGTCGTCATCCATCACCGCTTGTCAGTCGATGTATTGAAGGATTGAACATGCACGATATCGCTTTCTCAACACAGGAGCGTATTGACGTTTAGACGTGATGTATTGTGGGTTTTTTTCCCCCCATCATGGTGTTGACTTGAACTGCTGCTCACAAACTGTCCTATGGAATATTTAATTAGTGCAGTTTGCTGCGCTCGGAGAGCTCTGCTAGATGAAGTGATCTGTGGGATTATTTTGCCACAGCAACACAATAAAAGCAATTGGGTCCACCGGGTCAGGTCAGACGAAGCGCAGTGTGACTACTGGTTACCAAACTAATCCATCACGGCCGGTGAACTCTGCCCCCGACCATCCCAACTTAACAATCATCTGAGCGGCTGCAGTAATTAAACACTCCTTCATGCCGTTGAGCAAAGCGGCGGCGGCGGTCCGGCGACGGAGATCGGTACATGACGTCTCCTGCGTGAGGACATCAAACACATTTTCAGGCGTTTGAGGCGAGAGGCTTTTCGCTGCAGCACAAAAGCACAAATACACACAAGACCTCTTCCCATTTACGAAGTCACTTAGTTCTTTGTTTGCTGGCGCTGCCTTTTATTTTTCTCGTGGCAGAAAATGGCATGTTGACAGTAAAGACAACAAGCCTTAATTAAATGTTACGTGTCTGACTGACGGTTACTTAGAAAAAGAAAGTGGCAGCATGAGTGCTGATTAATAATTACTGAAAACATTAATAATTGAATTCATTAGGCAGCGCTGAGTATTTACTGAATATAGGGAAACGTCTTTAAAACCTCGCTACAGGGATTCATTTGTCTCCTTCGGTGAAAGACGGGGACTCGCCCACGTTTTCTTTGTTGTTTCTGTTTTAAGCGGTCTGGAATGGAAAAGCAGAGGTCAAGATATTCTGACTTCTCTGACTGCCTGTCCAATAGGGTGGAGGTCTGTAGGTCGCTGCTTCAAGATACAGTAAAACATCAGAACTTAACCTGCAAACATTTACATTTGCGCCACTTATAGAGAGAGACTAACAGTGATTAAACAAAAGGTAAAACACATCAGCACTGATTTGAAAACAGCTCAAACTTACTGTTCTTAAATACAATATTGGGTCAGTTGTACTTAAGTATTTTCATTTTTTTCTTTATTTTTTTCTTTATTTTATATATTCAGATTAATACTAAAAACATATATAACCAACAAATAAATCATGGTGTCAGCTTTTATTCTTTTAAAATCCTGCAGTGACACGTTGTTAGATTAAGATGAAACTTTGTTGATCCCCATCAGTAAATATTAAAATCAGCTTCAATCAACTGGTGAAAGAGCTGCAACCCTAAAGTGATGAAAGCAATAACGCATAAATAACTGTAATCGTACATTGTTCTGGAATAGGGCTGCAAGGTGGAGCAGTGGTTAGCATCATTGCCTCGCGGCTAGAAGGTCGCCGGCTCACGTCCTGGTGAGGACACCTGGGATCTTTCTATGTTCTCACCGTGCAGCGTGGGTTCTCTCCGGGTTCTCCGGCTTCCTCCCACAGTCCAGAAACATGTTGAGGTTAATTGGTGATTGTAAATTGTCCGTAGGTGTGAATGTGAGTGTGCTTGGTTGTCTGTCTCTAAGTGTAGCCCTGTGATAGACTGGTTACCTGTCCAGGTGAACCTGCCTTGATAGACTCCAGCCCCCCATGACCCTGGTGAGGATTAAGTGTAGATAATGAATGGAGGGATTATTCTGAAATAGACCATTCTATGTAATTTTTACTTCAAATACGTTTTGATGCTCCAGTAAAAACTTAAAGGCAGGACTTTTATAAAGGGCGCTGGCTTAGCTGGCAGTCCCGACAGTTCCTGTCTCTGGATAGATGTAACTGTGAATGGAATTTCTCTGTAAGGGATTAATAAAGTATTATTGATTGATTGATTGATTGATTTACTTGTAACAGAGTATTTCTACAGTGTGGTGCTGCTACTTTCCCTTAAGTACGAGATGTGAGTACTTCTTTTACTTCAGACACCCAGAGTGGCTTAAAGCGACCAGTCATAGGAGTTATCAGACGCTGTCTCGTCTCAAAAGTGATGAGCGAGAGTTGAGCAAAGGGAAGTGAACACAGGAGCAGAAATGATGACATCACATGCACGTGCCTGGTTTTCATGTGCACGATTTGAGACTAAATATATAAAGATGACTAATGTGATCCACAAACATGGTTTTCTTAAGATGTGTAAAGTTCTGGCGTGCACCTTTAGTCACTTGGTTTGCATACATTTATGAAAAACCAGCTCCGTGCACATGACGCTATCCTACCTTAACTCTTACTTCCTCCCTCCTACCGTCTGCAGGGCGGTGGTGCACATTCAGGTCAACGATGTCAACGAGTTCGCGCCGGTGTTCCGGGAGCCTCAGTACAGAGCGGCGGTGACGGAGGGGAAGATTTACGACAGCATCCTGCAGGTGGAGGCCACCGACCAGGACTGCTCCCCCCAGTACAGCCAGATCTGCAACTACCAGATCACCACCACCAGCACCCCCTTCGCTATAGACCGCAACGGTGAGTAGAAGAGCAGGAGATGTGTTAACAGCATCCACAGGAGCTCTGTCATGTTTGTTCCATTGCACGTGTTATTTTGAAAAGCTGTCACTTGAATTTTTTTTCCGGTGAATCCTGTTTCTCTCAACCTGCCTCCTCTTACAGCGGTTCTGCTTCACTTATTTCAGTGATTTCCCACAAGGCCAAGAAGATCTTCCAAATCAAGTTTTTTGCTCTCCCTTTGCTCTTCATCTTATTTACAGAAGATGCAAAAAAAAGAAAAAAAACCCTCAATTTCTTCCAAAACACGACGACATTCGTGATCTGAAAGACCTATTCATGCAAACACACACACTTCACACCCACAGGAGGAGAAAACACACACTCACACTGCTCTCTCACACACACACACACACCTGCATACACTTTGGTAGCAAAAACCTAACACTCTGACAGATGTCTCTCCCCAGGGTAAAATGTGTTCTTTGCTCTTTCCAAGGACAAAGTCAAACTTTGCCCAGAGAGCCATCAGTCTCCACGACTCAGATGAAGTCCGTGCACAAACAAGCATGAAAAACACAAACACACACACGCGGACAAAGATAAATGCTGAGAAAAATCTGTGGATGCTCTCAAATACCCTCGTAGATTTGACTTTGCTGAGTTGGCACTTGGTGACTTGCAGAGAAGTTAAAAAAAGTGTGAATATTGATGATCAAAGCGTGAAACTGACGATTATTCTACAGAATTAAAACCATCATTACACACGAATACAGACGTGCGCTATCAGAAGTGGGGTGTTTCCTTAATTGTTAACGACTTTTCTGACTTTCTTAGTTTGATGTCAAGTGCTGCTGTTGCACTCGGAGTTATAAAAAAAGTTATTTTACTGGGTAGCTAACAAAGTCAATTACAATTTAATATATTCTTTGAGCGTACGCTTTCCAGACTGTATTACCATCGAGTCTTATCACTGCTAGACGAGCTATTCACATACCGCTGGTGCTACTCTGTCAGCTCGTGTTCGCTGAGGATGCTCAGTGAAAGGGACGTTGCTGCTTAGGCTGTTGTTGCTTTTCTGATTGCTGAGATGTTGCAGTAAAAAGGCTGACTGGGTGAGGTGTGGGCCAAACAACGGCGTGAATGATGGAGAGGAGAGGCCGCAGCCTGCGTGCCCTCTCTCCATTTTGAAGGGGTCCCGCTCAGCCATTGACCGCTGAGGAAAAGGCTTCGAGAGCTCTTGAACTCGAGAGCACCGGAGGGAGAGAGTAAGAAGATGGAGGGAGGGAAGCGGAGGTTGGCTGTGAGAGCCGGCGTAAGTGGTCGGACACGATCAGGGATACAAGTAGATGGTAAACTACTGCAGGGATGAACTAAAGAGAAAGACAAGGCTGTTGATGTTCTGCATTTTTCTGATTGCTGCTAAATGAAAGCACAGCTATTGCCTGTTTACACCGTAGAGTAATGCAGCCTTTCCTTGGTGTTATTAATATTAACAGGACTAAGGAGGAGTTGTACAGAAAACAGCCCCGTTTTAAAGGCAGGGGGCTGTTTTTGTGGGGGTGCATTGCTTCAGGTGCCGCTGAAACAATGATGCAGGAAGTCCAGTTGGACGAATGCTTCTGTCGAACTCAGGCTTTATTAGACAGTGTGCAACTCTAGACTGTTCATCGCAGCATTCATACTATTTATCAGGACATGTTTTGGACGGCTGTGGCTCAGGTGGTAGAGCAGGTTGTCCTCTAATCGCAAGGTTGGTGGTCCAATCCCCCGCTCCTCCACAGTGTCCTTGGGTAAGACACTGAACCCAAAGTTGCTCCCAATGGCCGGCTAGCGTCTTGCATGGCAGCTCTGGGTGAATGAGAAACACATCGTAAATCGCTGTGAGTAATACTGCGGTAGAAAAAATGGATCTATAAGTGCAGACCATTCGCCGTGACCCAGTTCAGAGGTGATCAGCCTATTAAATGGCCAGTACCAGTTGTAATAATGCCCATAGATGTTGCCTGCCTCCTGCACAGACTTGTAGGCCAGACGCAGCATCCATTGATGAACAAAAAAATAAGCCAGATGTGCAACCTCTTGCAGTGTTGTGATAAGTGCATGCACTCACGATCCTAAAAACCTACAAGATGGAGCGTTGGAACATGGTGGTAGATGTAGTAAAAGGATGATCCTTTCTAAACCTAACCAGTAGTTTTGATGAATAATCAAACAGCGCCTGAAAACGCAAGTAAACTATAAACAACAGTGAATCAAAAAGCCTTTAATGATGGTCCAAGACAGTCTCCTGGCTGAAAGCCCGTTGACTTTTGCTCCAACCTACTCCTCCAAATGGTAGATAGGTGCTTTCTAAGTGGAAACCTCCACCATTAAATGGATGATGAAGAAGCAGCATTAAACGGAGGTTAAAACGGACTGCTGAGCCGACGAGAAGGCGGAGGAGGCCACCTGCTGCTGATATCTGTGGGTGAGATAACAACTGATAATGGCCGTTTAACAGGCAGTCGAAACGGGTGGGAACACTTTTAGTATTCGTGCGGCAGAGTAATGCCAACGCCGTGCCAACGGATGCTGCCCTGCAGTTCAGCATCAGGTCTCTGAACATGCTGGCAGCTCTGTGAGGCTCTACGTTACCGCTCTGGTGTTTTGACCTAAATACTACCATCAGCGTGCTAAGATACTGTCAATGACAATGCTAACAGGCAGACATTTAATTAAAATGTAGATAAAATGTTTAAGCTGCTGTGATTGTTATCTCAGTTAAGCAGCTTAGCATGCTAACATGATGGCTAAAAGGTTGTTGGTAATGTCGCAAGTTTTGCAGATATTTGGTCATAAACTGAAGAACGGGGCAGTTGAATGATGTTGGGAGGTGAAAAATGAAGGTTAAACCAAAGTTAGTTTCCTGAGGGGGGCATAAATGTTGTTATGGCAACAAGCCCTACAGATCTTCTTAAAACGGTCAATGCCACTTTCATGATGATGCCAGAACAAAAACACAGGAGATCATCAGAGTTAGAGGGACGTGGATAGAAGCAGCAACCATGACATCACCCTTTGGTTTGTGGAATATTTCATGAGTGTTTTTAAACTGAACATAACAAGCAAGCTGATGGAGAACCCAAAGACGCTACAGACGATGAAATGAAATGATAGCAAGGTAGCTCCTTCTGAACACGTGCCTGGCTTTATTGTCCATTTAACTGTAAATGGGAGCATTATTGACAATAAATACAGTTCCTAATAAATACAGCATTATTCATGAATAATTAATGACTTTGTATTACACATTTAGTGTACTGGACATTTGTACTGTGGTCATATTGCTATTTTACGCCATGAACACATGATGCAGACCATAAGGGCAGCTGGTCACTGGGATGTACAACCACTATCAAAGCTGAACCCAGCTTGATCTAAGCGCTACAGACGACTTTGTCATGAAGCCCCTTTTCTAGATAAACTCCCTCGATGCTCCCTCCTGGGGATCATTACAGGCACTGCAGTTGCTCTACAATACTTGAACAGTGTCCAGATTAGGAAAATGGGATCAGACTGGGACTAACAAAGACCTGATCGGGACATGTCTCACTATCGTACCCCATATCTGCACCGTACAATAAGACCTGTTGCTACAGTCAGCATGGAAACTGTCCCACACACATCATTAGCATAGCAAATGTGTAAAACTGGAGAAGTAGTCCCTAAAAAACACTTTATGTTTCACCTGAATGAGTATTTAACACAACATTTACTAAAAAAAAAGTCCAGTACCTGCTATTTTATAAAAGTTGGAAAGTGTTGACAGATGAAACATTTTTGTTTTTTCTAGTATTTTTGAACAATAATAAGAAAAAGGAAGCTGACTGCCTGCGTTGTCCTTTAAACAAAGAGCAGCGTTAGGTAAGAACCGCTCTGTAGTGGAGAGTAATTATAAAGGGGTAATGGAAGGAATTCACAGAGACAGATGCAGTGATGGTTTGCTTGTGTGTGTGTGTGTGTGTGTGTGTTTATGTGGCTTTGATAGAGAGGCAAATAGAGAGTGTGAGATGGAGGGTAAAGCAGTCATTTACTAGCTGGCCACCCTTAGCAGCAGTCACAGCACGCACAGCCTGCTGACACGGATAAGTTGATGTAGTAATTGAAGGAGCAGGAATAGGAACCTCCGTCATGCAGAAAGGTGTGAGAGTGCAAGTGTGCATGTGTGTGTGTGTGTGTGTGTGTGTGTGTAGAAAAATAAGAGGCAGAGCAGCACAACAGATGAGGCAGCAAACAGTGAAATGGGATGAGGCTGCAAAACATTGAGACAATGATGTGCACTGAGAGAGAATGGGAGAGTTGGACGAGGGGAGGCGGGAGGAGGAGGAGGAGGGAAGGCCTTCTAACCGAGGGGAGACGGAGAATGAGTGATGAGGAGGACGGGGAGGCGAACAATGCCGTCCTCGTATGAATTACAGCTAATTCTCCCGCTCACACACTCGAATACTATCAGCGCTGGGCTCCTGCTGCACCTGCATCCCGCTCCCCACAATGCAAAAACCTTCACAAGCGTCCAAATACAAATCGCCGTAATTCATTCCAACTACGCTTCCCCATAATGGCCAGTCGTGTCTCCTTTCAATACACTTTACACCCTTACGAGTGTTCTCCATCAGGATGCCCTCCTTCCTGCCCGGGCCTGGCTGCGTGTAGCGCATTGTCATCGGTCCGTAGTGGAAGACTCATCAAATATTAACGGACACATTAGGACTACAAGAAGTCCCTTCATGCACTCTGCTCAGAAGAGATGCTGGACTGGAAAATGGGTCATGGCTACCAACAAGTCCACCAATAATAGGTTCCGTTCCAGTTCCTAATTTTGATGTGTTTGGAGCATTTTAAACCATAAATAAATTGACTTCCATCTAGAAACAATAATGTTTGTAACTTGACCTGAATTGCGAGCCGTGACGTCCACAGCGAGCGCGTCATATTCTACGGGCTGGAAAATGAGATCGTGCAGCATTTCTCCTTTGATG